AGCGGCGTTGCGTCATGGGGTCCAAGCAAGCCACTCTGATGCAATGGGTGCGGCCCCCCTTGGTATTTTCTTTTTCTGCGGCCCAGCCCTGCCGGCCCAGCCCTTTAGCCGGCTCGTCCGTCCTTGGAGCCTCCCCAGCTTCCCCGGCCCTGTCCGGCCCCGCCAGGACCGCCAGGACCCACTCTCACATTGTCCGCATTGTTTGTGTTCCGCAGGCCCTGGTCGCGGTGCTGTTCGGTCTGCTGGCCCAGACCGGCGCGTACCACGACCCCGAGAGGGAGTACAAGCTCCGCGAGGCGCAGGTCGCCTGCGCCACTCCCGGCCACGCCCTCGGCTTCTCTCCCGCCGCGTACGCCGGGTACGCTGGCTACGCGGGTAGCGCCATCAGCGGGTACTCCGCCACCGGCGCCATCTCATCCTACTCCGCCTCCCCCGCCATCGCCTCCTACTCCGCCTCCCCCGCCGTGTCGTCCGTCTCCGTCGGACCCTCCTACTCCTCCTACACGGCCACCCCCGCCGTCTCTTCCTACTCCGCCTCCCCCGCCCTGTCGTCTGTCTCCGTCGGCCCGGCTTACGCCTCTTACGCCGCCACCCCTGCCGTGTCCGTGACCAAGGCGTACCTGCCTCCGGCACCCGCCGTCAAGGTACTGTACTTGTAGTGACGATTTCATTACCTACGGCAAAGACGGTATGTTAGTTGGATTCGACTCAAACTTGTTTTCTCCCCTGTGCAGGTCGCCACCCCCGCCTACAGCTACGCTGCTCCCGCTGTGGCCACTTACGCCGCTGCCCCCGCTAAGGTCGCATACGCCGCTGCTCCCGCCGTGGCCACCTACGCTGCTGCTCCCGCTAAGATCGCCTACGCTGCTGCTCCTGCTAAGATCGCCTACAGCTCCGCCCCCGCTGTCTCCTCCTCGTACATTACTACTGGCGCCGTGAAGGCTTACGCCGCCGCCCCCGCTGTGGCCACCTACGCCGCTGCCCCCGCCGTTCACACCTACGCCTCCGCCCCCGCTGTTGCCACCTACGCTGCTGCCCCCGCTAAGATCGCCTACGCCGCTGCTCCCGCCGTAACCACCTACGCCGCTGCCCCCGCTAAGATCGCCTACAGCGCCGCCAACGCCGTGTCCTCCTCTTACATCTCCACTGGCGCCGTGAAGACCTACGCCGCTGCCCCCTCTATCGCTGCCTACTCCACCTCCCCCGCGGTGCACGCCTACTCAGCAACTCCCGCTGTCGCTGCCTACTCCGCCTCCCCCGCGGTGCACTCCTACTCTGCCAGCCCCGCTGTTGCCACCTACTCTGCCTCCCCTGCTATTGCCACCTACGCTGCTGCCCCTGCTAAGATCGCCTACGCCGCTGCGCCCGCTAAGATCGCCTACAGCGCTGCCAACGCCGTGTCCTCCTCTTACATCTCCACTGGCGCCGTGAAGACTTACGCCGCTGCCCCCGCTATCGCCACCTACGCCGCCGCCCCCGCTAAGGTCGCGTACGCTGCTGCCCCCGCCGTCCACACCTACGCCTCCGCCCCCGCTGTTGCCACTTATGCTGCTGCCCCCGCTAAGATCGCCTACGCCGCTGCCCCTGCCGTGGCCACCTACGCCGCCGCCCCCGCCAAGATCGCCTACAGCGCTGCCCCCTCTGTCTCCTCCTCTTACAACTCCTTTGGCGCCGTGAACGCCTACGCCGCCTCCCCCGCCATCTCCGCCTACTCCGCCGGCCCCGCCGTGTCCGCCTACTCCGCTAGCCCCGCTATCTCTGCGTACTCCGCTAGCCCCGCTATCTCCGCCTACTCCGCCAGCCCCGCCGTGCACGCCTACTCTGCCGGCCCCGCTGTGGCCGCCTACTCCACCGGCGCTTCCATCTCCGCCTACGGTGCCTCTGGCGCCAAGATCGCCTACAGCGCCGCTCCCGCCGTGTCCAGCTCCTACATCTCCGGCGCCCCGGTGAGTGAATTAACCGTGCGCCGCTGTTGCGCCACGCGCCGCCTAACCGGACGGCCCGGGGCTGCATGACGGATGCGGACAGGTGGCTACCGTGCGCCGCCTGTGCCGTCGACCTCTTTGTGACCGAGCTCTTCTGTCTCGCAGGCTGCCGCCGCCTACCACGGCTACGCCGCCGCCGCCCCCGTGCTGCAGTACGCCCAGGCCGCCCCCATCAAGGCCGTCGCCCCCGCCGTCGTGAAGAACGTGCACTACAAGCACCTCGAGGAATACGTAAGTACACACACGCCCCACGCTCTCTCCCGACAGAGCACCGCACCGCAGAGTGTTGTGTTCCTGACCGTTCCTTCCCTCATTGCGCAGGACGACCACCCCAGGTACGCCTTCGAGTACGGCGTGTCCGACCCCCACACCGGTGACCAGAAGGAGCAGAAGGAGCAGCGCGACGGCGACGTCGTCAAGGGAGAGTACTCCGTCGTCGAGCCCGACGGTTCCGTGCGCACCGTCAACTACGTGGCCGACTGGGAGACCGGCTTCCACGCCACCGTCTCGAAGAACCCCCCCAACCACAAGATCGGTGTCCAGCACTAAGGCCGCTCCGGTCGCGCCCCGTCCTGCACCTGACCGCCGACCAGACCGCTCCAAATAATTTTCTCCTCGGTATAGGCCGACCTCCTGACCAAGTTGTGACAGCCGACGCAAGTGGCTGTGGCTAAACAATGATTATGAGGCTTTGCAAATCCCGGGTTCCGATCAGAGTGCAGCGTCACCCACGCGCGTGTCCTAGCACAATGCGCATTGTGCGAGATCTGTTTGCTCGGGCCGCTCGCGCTGCTTGCGCCACGGCCGAACGTCAAATTGTTTTCTTTTCTGTCACCGCCGTCAAGGCGCGGCCACTTTCGTCACGTTATTCGCTCCTGGCTGGGAAGTCATGGATGCATACACTATCTTGCTGGTCGAGCGCACGTCTTTGGGGACCGTTGTTGGCGGAGACAACGTCCAATGTGATCACCAAGTTATAATACCTAGGACGTAGACAAGAGAGTTATTTTGTTGGATAAGTTGTAGCTTTTACGTTGTCGTCCTCATTTCCATTCGTCGCCATTCATTCATTATTGGTTAAGACCACGCAAATGTGGAACTAGTCTGCTCTCACCGTATCTTTAAGTGATTGTCTCTCGCACAAAAACTACGCTAATGAGGCATCATTCTGCACCAATTATATATGCTTTCATTATATTAATGAAAGTAACAACTGCACTGTACCCGATAATGTACAAAGTCGCTTTTACTACTAAGCCATTTTGGATGAAGATCGATAGGCTCTGAGTTACCTATATTGCCCTGCTCCGAATGTCGCAGATTTGTTACCGTTTATGTTATGTTCTTTTGTTGTGCGTGATTGTAATGTGTTCATCTACTCGAGTACGCATACCTATTAATAAAGAGCGAAAGCCATTGTATTTTGAATAATATTTTTTTACTGATAAATAAAA